TTTGCCACCTTGTGTCATTCCCCAAGCCACGCCTCTCCTTCCTTTCTAGAGCCAACATTCTGTCCTCCCATTCCTTCCTTAAACTGGCATCCTGCCCTACAATTCCTTCCTGAAGCAATGTGTCCCATACTTTCTGCAAGCCATGCCTCTCCTTCCATCTCTGGAGCGGGTGTCCCATTCTTGTGAGACCTGGGGAAGACCAGAAAGTTTCTGAAGGATCATGAGAATGGGACACTGGCTTGCAGAAGGTATGGGGCACGTGGCTTTAGGAAGGAATGGGAAGATGGGACGCCAGGTTTAAGGAAGGAAGGAGAGGCCAGATTTAAGGAAGGAATGGGATGACAGGACACTGGCTCCGGGAAAGGAAGGAGAGGCGTGGCTTGGGGAACAGTACAAGATGGCAAAGGCCAGCAGTATGGGGCGTGAGGCAGCATTTCTCAGTGGCAGCAGCGGTGCTGGGGCTGAAGCCAAGGCCTGGGGCCGGTGGCAGCTGGCTGAGACTGCCAAATGCCTCGGGCCTCTACTTCAGCCCCAGCCCTGGGGCTGCCGCCAAGTGCCACTGTGCAGGGCAGCCAAAAGGGCATAAATGGGGGGGGGAGAGATAGGTGGTGGGGGGAGTTGCAGCACCCCTGCGGTCATAAGTGTCGGTGGGCTGCCAAGCACCAGAATTTTGATCACGGGCGTGCTGCAATGGCTGTATCTTCAGGCACAGATTGTAAGTTCATTTTTTCAGCACTGTCGTAATTTCTAACAGTCACTGAATGGTCATTTAGCAAGGACTACCTGTACAAATTTTTGTTGAAATTTGAAACAGAGGAAGAACAGGTTAAAGAATGTATGCTAAAGTGGGCTAAGAACTTTGATGATAATATACAGATGGATCAATGGGAACATATGTGGTTAAAAGGAGGAACAGGTTAAGAATGTATGATAAAGTGGGCTAAGAACTTTGATTATACTATACAGATGGATTAGTGGGAAAATATGTGATTAAAAGGGTTGAGATTTACATTGTTATGATCTCAAAGAGAATTTTTATAAAATGATGTATCGTTGGTACATGATGCCAGCAAAATTATCTAAAATGTATAAAGGCATTTCAAACGTATTTTGGAAATGTGAATAACATAAAGGGACACTTTATCATGCTTGGTGGACACGTAAAAAAGCTAAAAAAATTTGGATTCAAATATATACTTTGATACAGAGGATTTTAAAGATTAATATTCAACTGAAACCAGAACTTTTCCTTTTAGGATTAATGGACAAACAGTGAGAAAAAAAGCCATGGAAGATTATTTCAATATATGATTACTGCAGCGAGATTACTCTATGCATAGAGATGGAAAGATTTGACACTACCCACTATGGAGGAATGGTTGGAGAAGTTGATAGATTTCTCTGAAATGGATAAACTGACTTCTTTGATTAGAGAAAAGACACCATCTACATTTATTGGTGACTGGAAGCCTCATACAGACTTTTTGCACAAGAATGAAAAAAATGAACTTGTAATTTATGTTTTTGATGATTAAACAGGATAGATTATAGAAAGAAGAGTAATATGATGTACCGTAGAGAGGTTAAAACATATTTATACTTATGACTGCTGTGAAGAATATCGGAAGCCACTTCTTTATATCTTTTTTCCCTTCTTTTCTATTTTTCTTTTTTTTCTTGCTTTGCTTTTTCTCTGATTTCTTTCTTTTTTCTTCTTTCTTACTTTATATTAGTTTGTGTTAGTTTTTATCTTGTTAAAAGGCTTTAATAAAATTATATTTAAAAAAAAAGACTGATCACAACATAACCAAATACTTACAGGAAAAGCAGAAAGGGGGGAGGAGACAAAAGATTTAGCCAGGGGACTAGAATGAGATAGAGCAGATGATGGCCACCTTTCTGCTCCTTCACTGTTCAGCAACCCTTAGAAAATCTGTGGGTGAAAATTCATGAGTTCCTACTATACCCTCCAAAACCTGCTCCAAGGGCTCTTTCAGAACAAATATTGAGGAGGCTGCATGGGAAATGGGGAACTGTCCTCTTCCCTTGCCAATAAACCCTATTCTATCAAGAATACTATTCATTAAATAGACCATCACACAAGTAACATACATTAATATATGGTAGAACAACGACAGACGCTACAGCAAAAATTAACTTATGTAAATTGATTTAATTTGTAACATCTGCATTTACAAGTCATGGATGATGACCTGTAGGAAAAACAGTCAACAAATTAGTCCTGAAACCACTAAAAACACCAAGAAAACTCATATCAATTTTATTAAAGCAGGATTTTCAGCATAAAATGCAAAGCTATGGCCAAAACTAGCAAAAGCGAATTGAACAATTCCTGACAGAAAGATATAGAGAACTAGTAACACACACGACAAAATTACACTAAGTCATTGGATGTGACTGTAATTTATTAGCATGATGGTATATTATAAAAAAAAAGTATTGTGTAAGTTAGGATATGAAATATTAAGAAGACTAGATTTAAAAATGAATGTGATTCAGAATACAGCAGTGAGTTTACACTGTTAGATGAAGAAAACGCCTGTAGCTATCTGTTCTCTTAGACAGAAACAAATAATAGAAACTAAAGAAAAAGTTCACATGTACAAGGCTACCTGTGAAGTTAAATTAAATTACAGAGCTCCATAAAATTAAAAGTGCTTGGTTGCTTAAAAATTAGCTATCCTTTGTTCACCTTGAACAAAATAGAGATGGTTTTTAACAAGGTCATCTGTTCTTAGTATGAGGAGTACAAAACATGCAGGGAAGTAGTAATTATTTCTTTAATTTCACTTTCATTTCTAAAAAGTCACAGCTAGAGGGCAATAAAGTCAGCATATTATGCAATCTATAATTAAACAAATTATGCACTCCTATTCATATAAAGACAAAAGGAGAACAAGAATGTCCATATCAGAAATCAGACTCCAATGGCTAAAACCAGACATTAGGAAGAAATGAATGTCACTTCTTTAAAAATCTCCCTTTTAAAACTATAATCAGAAGCACAATAAATGCAAAAAGGAAGTGCACTTTCCCAAAACTACTTTTCATTTCAAAAAATTGTTAGAACTTACAGATATGTCTATATACAATATCTGGCCATTCTGAATCAATTGGAGCTTCGGGACACAATGTTTTCAAAGGTCTCCTCAAACAGAACTATGTTCAGATGACCATGACTACAGCACTCCACAAAAACATGAACCTTGGTTATCCCCTCCTTTCAGAGTTTTTCCATCAATATGAAAAAGTCAACAGATAAAGAACTACAGCAAACTTATCTGTTATCATCATGATTACTAGTAATTAAAAAGTTGGTGAAAACTTACAATTCCAAAAGCCAACTTCAACTAAATGTCTAATAATAAACTCAACTCAAGCATTACGAAAATATTCAAGAAGGGTTGCACCATACAGTTTCACCTTCAATACTGGTGTACATTTTAATTTCTACTCCAGGCATTGGTGCCAACAGTGTGAACATCTCAATGAAGTAGACTAGCTTTCATGCATACAATTGTTTGTGCACAGAAGTCCTCAATGAATAAGGATACCATTCTCTAGAAAAGAGAAAGAAAAAAATACCTGGGTATTTTTCTCTACCTGAATCTCCTTCAGTCTGATTTAACAGTTTTTAAACTACCTACCATGCTATTGTCTATGTTTTTCCCACAATGTTCCAAGAGACAAAGCCATATCTGGCCACTGTAGCATGTGGACAAACCAACCAAGACAAACTCCAAAATAAACACAATATGCAGGATTAGCATTTGCCCTCTTTTGTGAACTACCACTGACTAGGGCTGCTGATGGTAGCTATGTTATAACCAAAGCTACAAATGGCTTTTAATGATCCCTAATTTTCCATTACTGCAACCCAACCTGGAATGCTGGGGCCAACTCCGGTTTGTGTGACTTGCAAATTCGACTATTGTCAATTCATGTTTTGTGGGACTCTCCCTTAAATAGCATTCAGGAAAGTAAGTTCCTGCAAAATATACCAGCAAACTCTAGTATAACACTAATCTTGCCTGAGTTAAAATAGATACCATCTGGCTTCCATCCAATTTCAAATGTTTGATTTTGACCTTTAAAATTAATTATTCCTTGTCCAAATGCATTTTTGGGGGATAGACTTCCCTAAATTAGTTCACCTGTGTTGAAGTCTATGGCTAGGTGAGGAGAGATAGCAGTAACAATGAAAACTATGCTATGCACATCATTTTAACATGGCTGTAGCTAATAAGAGTCTGACATGCATGAGCTATACAGCGTTTATGCACCAGTTTTGATTTCAATAGTTCCAAAGTGATAAAGCTAAACCATCTTTGGGAATTATCCAAGGCAGAAAAGTTTATAAGGAAGGAAGGACAGAAGTGCTCGGTAATGCAAAACACACATGAAACTAAGAGCATCCGTCCACCAGGAATCGCTGAGGGAGGAAAAAGCACACCACTTCACACAAAGGTTCACGACCACATTCTCCCCCCGCAAAGGAGGAACAAGGCTGATCGCATATTATGCGACAGCTAGACAGGGAAGCAGAGAGCCGCGGCCGAAACAGGAACACAGAAAAAGGCGAAGAGGATACACTTGGTGAGGAACAGATGTTTACAGCCTGGCTTCGCCGCAGTCAAAGGCAAGTCTGCCAAGGAAACCGGAGCTGCACACACAAGGGGCTTTGGAGCGAACCGACTTAAGATGAGAAAGACGTCTGACGGCGCCGCCGCCGCCATTTTTCCCAGCCCGAACAGCTGTGCTCTCGGGCGGGCATGGCTCTCGAGCTGCTTTGCTTCGAGCGCAAGGCAAGCAGCAGCCCCTGCGGGACCGTGTGGGGAGCGGAGGTGCTGCTGCGAGCGCCGGGCCTTTAAGAGGAGGGCGAGTGACGGAGACTGGGAACCGGGACTCGGCCGCGCTCGCGCCAAGCCACAGTAGAACCAGGACCGGGGAAGGGCGCGCCCCCGCGCTCCCCGCTTTACCTTGCGGAGGTAGCTGGCCACCAC